TGATTTCTTACACTTTCATTTAAAGTACTTATGGATTATGATCATAGCAGAGAACATTTTGCCCACTTTCCTTGATGACAGAGACTCTCCAAGGCTTGCTACTTTTTTCAGCTCCTTGTTGAAGTCTGTTTCTACAATGCAATTTAAATACTATTATATTGCTATGTAATATAATAATTGTATAGTCTCAAGAAAAGTATGTCAGTGAAACAATTTACTTGTTTCCTTACCTATGCTCCCTTCCTTCTTTTTACCTCTCTTGGACTTCTCTGTAATTGTCTGAGGGCCTTCAATCTCTTATTACATTTATCAAGAGATCCTTAATGGGAAAAAAAAGCTACAGAAATTCAGACTACCAATATTGAAAGTAGGTACAAATCCACCATAATCAACAGTCTACTTTAAATTACGTCTATGTCTAACTATGAGTTCCACTTTTTTCTTTGAAGTATACGCCTTATTCATAAATGGCGGATGGGCGGTTAAGACCTGAGCCGAGTTCACCAAAACGAGGCTTAGGAGGCATCGCAAGAAACATGGAGTCGAAGTCAAACAATTACCATTGAGTACCATTGTGCACACAGAGAAGGGGGTGTTGGATCAAAAAGAGAACAAATTGGATTAAGTTTCCAGATGAAGAGGAAATGAAGAAACATTGGATATATACTATACGTAGAGATTTTGGTAGATTTTTTCGCATCTCCGAGGCATCAAAAGTGTGTTCGTTACATTTCGAGGTTAGTGACATATCAAAGGGTCTTGGTGGATGAACGTCTCTGAAGACAAATGCAGTTCCGTCGATATTTGCTTGGAAACAAACTTCACTATGAAAGTGACCGCCCCCTACCGAGAGGCCTTATCTACGACTGCGAGAAGAGAAGAGATCTGTCCCAGAAAAAGAGTCTTCTTCAGTGTGTTCGGAGCCTGGCAAAACACCTGAAGCCGCAAACGATATTCCTGAAACAGGTACTAACGAAACCACTTGATTATGATACCTGTAAAGGAGTGGCCAAAAATTACAGGGGGAGGACCTGAACACATGACCTAACCCCTTACCTTTGGAATAAAAAAACTGACTGACCCCAAAATAGTAGTCAGAAATTAGATTACCTCCCCCTCTGCATGGGAAAAGAAGATGACCCAGCCCTAATGTGTAGTGAAAAATTACACAGCCCACACCTTTTTGAAGGATCGAAAAAGTAATGACCCACTCAAGTATGCCTTTTGACCAGCCCTGTAAAAGTGGAAACTAATGAGTGGTTTGTGATTTTGATACAGACTTACAATTTTACAGTCTTTGTGAGCTTCAAATCTATTGGATTTACCCCTTAGGATATTTATCAAATCATTCTGAGATTTTATGCATTAAATGTTTGATTATGATGCTGTTGTAGAATGTCAAACCACCACAGCTTTTGTACATGATGGTGCAAATTCAGCTACAGCATACTTAATGAAATTTGTAAAATGATATTGCCAAAGCTTCTCCTGAAGCTCAACCCAGTAACCTCTGTCAAAGGCAATTCTTTCAATTGACATTCCTCTTTTAGTGTAAACAACAAAATTGCACCAGTGTGCACCAGTACAGCCCATTTGGCACTAAACTTAGGCATAGTAACCCTCTCGCAAAAGAACTTAGGGTCTGAGCAGGCATCTAGGGGACTCACTTGAAACTTTGTTTCTGAGCACTAGACCTCAAGTAGTCCAAAGGGATCTTCCCAACTGGGGTCTATTACCTTTCCATCCGTAGAACATCCCAGTATCAGATAATTAGTGCATACAACAAATCCACTTTTGAAAACATGTCCTGGTGTTGTTTGACTGTGCATGTATCTGTGATACCTGTCAATTGCTACTGGCTCATATTTAAACCCATGAGCTGTGTTTAGAGTGGAATGTCTTTCGGCACATGATTTCTTCAGCAAATTCATCATGACTGCGTCGTCTGTGGGATATCAGATGAAACTGAGATGCTGTAAAATGGTATTTTCGCTCAGTTTTCGAATTAGAGTGTAATTTACTCAGAAGTCGAAACCAAACTCTATTTAACTCACTCAACATAAGACGTTCAGATTACTACTTATGTTTGGCTATCGATCGTTACATTTAATCATACAGTTTTAGTAGCTGAGCCTTTGTTTTCTGCCCTTTGCATTTATCTCCCCTACATTTTAGCCAAAACCTCAGGGCATAGTTGTTGAGCTCCCCTGGGTTTCTTCCCTCTAAAGACACTCCAGGAATATCATCTTGACTCAAATTAACTGCAAAACTCTCCGTGATATTTATAACAGAACATTCGCCAAGGTCAAACTACGTTACATCAACGGATGCTGAATTAAACTACGCCATTTTTTTAAACTACAATGGAAACAGCCAAAATTCCACAAACGTTCACACAAGCTAAGTATCAATAGATGGAACGATGCCTCCTAAGCCTCGTTTTGGTGAACTCAGCTCAGGTCTTAACTGCGCATCCGCCATTTATGAATAAGGTGTATGGGTTTAGCCCAAAGCACCTAAACTCACAAACAAATGCTACATGTAACCCTAGAAGAGCGAATTGTCAGTCAGCGCAAATCAAAGGTTCACACACGACAGTTAGGCAAATGGTATAACGAAGTGTTTTTGTACCTGACATAAGACCAAATTGTATTGGTCAGTAACCTCGGCTTTGTTATTAGCAACCAATGAAATTGACTGTTAGTTCTGATCCTACACAAGGGTGGCCTTAATGGCACCTTGGCACTTCTTGGGTTGAGCAATGTTAAACTATTTTTGGCCTGCTGAAATTTACATGTGTCAATTTGCACGAGAAACCTTAATTAACTTACCCATGAACATGACCGTAGCATTGTACTTCTTGGATCCTTGTTTAATCGTGATGGCTTCCATAACTTTTGCATTTTTATCAAGATTTTCTCTTTCAACTACACTGCAGCTTAGCTCATCCATAAAATAAATTATGCAAAAGTTGCGCTTTTGAAAATCTGAAACATACCAAAAATAATGCAAAACAAACAATGGTCATAAATGGCTTTATCATTCCGAAAAATTCCACAGAGAAACTTAACAATCCCATCCCATGTCAGAGGAAAAGCCAAAGAAACTTCATGCAGCCTGACAGTGAAATAAACAACTTCTTGACCCTCTCATTACTGAACGTGCGCGACTGGAAATGAATTAAATGGTTTAATTTAAATAAATTTAATTCAATAGAGATTAACTCTACATTCACAAGTACGTTTACCGAAAAAGAATTTTCTGATAGAATTTGGAACTTAATAATTACATATCTGGAAGAATTTAAAATTGCTTTAGGCTTTTAAATTCTATGAGGATTTTCTTATCTAGGCTTAGAACAGGGTGAATAACAATCAACAAAAAATGTTACACACCTTCAGGGTGGTTTTCCTTAAATTCCTTCATTTGCAGTCTTTCACTCGTTGTTTTTTCGACATCTTGACCTGGTAATGTTGACCACCTCGAATCGAAGGTAATGGCAGATCCCTCTCACAGGAAGACCGTATGACTTTTGGTGTCATTGGAGACTTATGCACGTACTGTGCGGCATTCGCAATAATGTGCTGTGGTAAGTGTGAAAAAATGCGAGAACTTCCAAGCTACAGATGCCTTTACCTTCTATGGCCAGGTTCCAACACCTATCCTAGCTTTGGCCACTGTTCTTGAGTGATCGGGTACAATTAACAGATGCTCGGACAATGGTACTTTTTGCCTTGAAAGTACCGCGATGAAACAAAGTGGACGTCACAAACGCGAATAAACTATGACTATGCATGTTTAGTGGAGAAAATGCTCAAACATAAGTGAATCAGTTGGCAGGCCAAATCACGGTATACGCTCCCATTTTTTTTGGGTAGGCAAAACATTAAGAGGCGTGGCTACCAAGTTCCATACATTTACTGTAAAATTTTGAAACGTGACTCGAGTGCAAGCTACATTTCCTTTATTTTCTTCCTGTCAGATGAATCTCTGGCCTCCAAATTTTCAGACATTTTCTCTTACATTTTATCCTATTTTAGGGTGTATGGCGGTGTATACCGTGATTTGTTGAACTGTATGGTTTCAAAGCAATTGTTGTCGATTTGCGCGGGATATGGCGACTAATGTCAATAAAGGGGGAACACCCCCTCAATCCCATTCTCCCGGTTAAAGTGCCCTTCTCCATCATGGCGGATGATGTGCACTCTGACGAAGAAGGTGAAGAATTGCACTTTACCTCTTCAGATGTAGACGAAAGTCCACCCCCCAAAAAGGAAGGATACTGATGGTTACGATGACTCATCGTTTTGTGAAGAAGACGATTTTAGCCTTTATACTTAGAGCGACAGTGACAGAAGAAAACAGACAAGTGCTGATCAAAACACCTTGAAAACAGAAAATTCGGATAACTGATACAAGGACAGCTGGAGACATGGATGCAGACCATTGTAGTGACATTCTTGATAACAATGGATATCAAAGCCAGCAAGATACCCAGTCTGAGAGCAGCCATGCAGATGACATGTGCTCGAACTATGCATCAGATGGTACTAGTAACATGTCCAGCAGTAGTGTTAATGTGGAAAATTCGATTTTACGATACAGCGATTCTGATAACCCCAGCGATGACAGTGGTTCTGACCATTGCCAAGACTTTTTAGAAGAAATGCCTCTGTACAGTGGATCAACTTTGACAAGTTCCAATGTGGATGCCTTATTGTTAGCCTTTTTTAAGAAGCGTAGGATGTCAGAGGCTGCCAAAGAAGAGCTATTGAAATTACTTGAGCTTGCATTGCCGACAGGAAGCAATGTTGCAACTTCATCCTATTTGTTCAACAAAAGACATGATGAGTGCACACTTCCTTTTGAGCTCAAGGAGCTGTGTCCAAACTGTCACAACAAAGTTGAAAATGAACATTGCACAAACAGCGAATGTGATCAGGAAGGATTAAAAGTGGATCCATTAAGGTTTTATGTTATACCAATCAAGCCACAAATCATGGTTCGCACGGGCCTGGAATACTCCTTGAAAAA